CCTCAGCCTCCCAAGTAGTTGGGATTACAAGTATGTGCCACCATGCCTAGCTAATTTTGTATTTTTAGTAGAGATGGGGTTTCTCCATGTTGGTCAGATTGGTCTTGAACTCCTGATCTCAGGTGATCCGCCCACCTTGGCCTTCCAAATTGCTGAGATTACAGGCGTGAGCCACCGTACCCAGCCTGTATTAGTCTGTTTTCACACTGCTGATAAAGACACATCTGAGACTGGCCAATTTACAAAAGAAAGAGAGGTTTGATGGACTTACAGTTTCATTAAACCGGGGAGAACTCACAATCATTGCAGAAGGCAAGGAGGAGCAAGTCACATCTTACATAGATGGCAGCAGGCAAAGAGAGAGAGAGCTTGTGCAGGGAAACTCCCTTTTTAAAACCATAAGATCTCATGAAACTTATCCACATCATGAGAACAGCACAGGAAAGACATGCCCCCATGATTCAGTTATCTCCCACCAGGTCCCTCCCACAACACATGGGAATTATGGGAGCTAAAAGATGAGATTTGGGTGGTCACACAGAGCCAAACCATATCATCCCCCACCCCTCCAAAGCCTGCCCCCAGCCCCTGCCTGAGCTCCCATAGCCTCTAGTCTGGGTATCATGCTGGGCTCTGAGAGCTGCTCTCCCATTTCCCATCTTCTTGCTCAGCAGTGGGAGGCATCCTTTACAAAGAGAAGACAGGCCACTGTCACACCCTAAGTGATGTAGCCCCCACCCTTGGACAATCCCTTGGTCTCTTATTCTCCATATCACCCCCTCCACTCCAACTTCCTGGTCTCCAGCTGTTGCTCAAATACAGAGGCCTGTTCCCTCCTGCCTCAGCTCTGGAGACATGGTGTTCTCTCTGCCTACCACATGGGCAGTTCCTTCACTTCCCTGATCACTCTCTTCAGATTGTAGCCCCGGGGTCTCAGCAGCTCGGGCGGCGGGAGGAATGGCAGCGGCCAGGCAGCCCAGTTTCGCGAAGGCTCTCGGCGTGCTGCGGCCCACAGGCACCCAGCACGCGCCTTCCCCGCCGCCGGGATGCTCA